CAGAGAGTCTGAAAGACGACGCCACGAAGATGAACAAAGACGCAGAGAACTAGAAAATATACGTAGAAGTGAGGATGACCTGAGAAGAAGAGAGGATCAAGCCAGATTTGAAGCCTTGATTTCCCTGTTAGCCTCCCCACAACGATCTACTCAACAAGATTCTTCTGCTACTACTAATGCTGATACGACTAGAGGTACTGGTACCTCATCTCCCAGAGTCGGTTCAACAACACCTCAAAAGGCTGCAGCACAAACGCCTCCCTCTCTGAAGTCTGACGCTTCTTATCAGATGTTTCGGGAATGGCGTCGACGTTGGCAAGACTATGCAACAATGGTTGACCTGTCAAGTTTACCACAGCCTAAACAGATGATACAGCTTCGTATGTGCTTGTCCTTGGAAACACAACTTACTCTCGAGCACACACTTCAAGTGCCTCCTACGACAACTCTGACAGTAGAGGCCGTGCTTGACAAGTTACAGGAACATGTTAAGGGACAGCGCAACGAAGCACTTAGAAGAAGAGAACTCCTCCAATGTAAGCAGCTTGATGGAGAATCTTTTGATGCATTTTTTGTAAGACTGAAAAGATGTTCAGAGGAAGTTGATGTTTGTCCTGGAAATTCTCAAGTTTGTGAAGAGACAACCCAAGACAATCATTTTAACGGGTATTCGAGATGAAGAGCTAGTTCAGCGTCTCATTTCATTTGACCCCATTTCCTCCCTTCAAGATGTTGTTACAAAATGTCGAGCGTACGAGGCCGCCAGGTGTGCGACATCAGCTTTACGTTCACAACCTGACCAGGTGAGGGGGGTGTCTTCCTACAGAAAGGGTAAGAAGCAGCAAGGTAACCCCACCCCTCACCCTCCAGCTACACCTTCAGCAGCAGCTTTGTGTAACAGCTGCGCGAGACAGCATGATGCCTCTCAGTGCCCAGCTGCTCAAAGCGTGTGCAGAAGTTGCGACTGTCAGGGTCACTGGGCTTACACAGTCAAGTGCCCTGCTAGCAAAGTTCAGTGCAAACTTTGTGGTCGTGTGGGCCATTATGACAAATGTTGTCGTAAGAAGACACAGAAAGGACACCACCAAGGATCCAAGAAGTCATCCTCAGGTAGTGCTGGCACGCCCCCTCCTTCTGGCAAGCATCAAGACGCTGTATCCAGTAGTTCCTGCCGTCGTGTACATTGTTCCACAGACACGACGCCCCAGCACATCAGTGTCGTCATTTCTCACGGTAACTTGTCATCCAGTCTTCTGATGTTACCTGACACCGGTGCTGACGTCTCAGTAATTGGTCCACAACACTTAGCAAGTTTGGGAATACCCTGGAGCAACCTACAGCCCCCTCCTCAGACAACGAAACTGACAGCTGATGGTTCCAAGATGGCTCCAGCTTTGGGATCTTTCTGGGCTACTCTTACCTTTGGTAAGCAGTCTTGCTCAGCCCGGATTGATGTTCATGATGGGATCCCGACTCCGCTTTTATCATATGGCCATTGTCAAGAATCAGCCATTATTTCCAAGGAATTCCCCAAACCTATTTTAAAGGTCACCCATGTCAACAGGTTGAAGGAACTCCCTATCTCTACTAACACGTCCCCTTCTGATGCAAGAGCTTACCTTTTCAAGGAGTTTGCTGACGTGTTGGTTACGAAGAAATCTTTAGGATCCACACCACTCAAGCCGATGGTGGGTCCATCTATGAAGATTCATCTTAAGGATGGTGCCACACCTTTTGCCATCCACACCCCTCGTTTGATTCCTCACGCCTACAAGGAGCTAGTTAGACAAGAGCTTGACTCCATGGTTGCTCAGGGAATCATCAAGCCGGCCGGAGACGAACCTTCACCTTGGTGCCACCCTCTCGTCCCTGTCACCAACCCTCATGGTGGAGTACGGATCACCACCGATCTATCAAAACTTAACCAGCAAGTTTCCCGTCCAGCCCACCCTTCACCCACACCCTTCGCAGCTGTTCGAAGTGTGGACCCGAAGGCGAAGTTTTTTTCAACGATGGACGCCTTATGTGGTTATTGGCAGATCGAGTTGGCCGAAGAAGACCAGCATTTGACTACATTCATCACACCATATGGAAGATATCAGTATTGCAGAGGCCTCATGGGATTTGCCGCTACGGACGATGCATTCTGTCAACATGGTGACGCGGCCCTTCAAGGAGTCACGAATTGTGTCAAGGTGGTTGATGATATTTTACTCCATGACGAAGACTACTGTATCCACCTCTCCCGAATATATGAAGTTTTCACCAGATGTCGAAAGTACGGGATTACCCTCAACGCTGACAAGTTTGTAGTCGCCGCACCATCAGTGAACTTCTGTGGGTACACTCTCTCAGCATCAGGTATCGCAGCTGACCCGGAGAAATTAAGTGGAATCAGGGATTTTCCAACCCCTGCCAACCTGACAGACCTCCGTTCTTTCTTGGGTCTGGTCAATCAGCTGGCTGAATTCTCACCTGACATCTCCGCCGCAGCCCAGCCGTTACGCCCCCTGCTGAGCCCCAGGAGGACATTCCTGTGGACCGCAGATCATCAAGAGGCCTTCCAGCGAGTCAAGCAGGCCCTCTTAAGTCCACCTGTCCTCGCCTGTTACGACCCAGCCCTACCCACCGTCCTCCAGACTGACGCCTCCAGACTCTACGGCGTTGGTTACGCCCTTCTGCAGGACCATGGCGGTGGACAACTCCACTTAATTCAGTGTGGATCCCGGTTCCTGACGGACGCCGAGACCCGATATGCCACGATTGAGCTGGAGATGTTGGCTGCTGTCTGGGCGATGGCGAAGTGCCGCTTTTACCTGATAGGACTTCAGCACTTCACCCTCTTCACGGATCATCGCCCTCTTGTACCTATTATATCAATCACTACTCTTTGGATGCAGTAGAGAATCCTCGCCTTCAACGTTTGAAAGAGAAGCTCTCGCCTTATCTCTTCACGGCTGTGTGGCGTGTGGGTAAGCTGCTGTGCACCCCGGATGCTCCCCACCCCAGAGGACGAGATGTTGTGTTCTACAGCTGCCGCATCCCTCAAGTTAGTAGTCTCATTGAAGGCCGTCTTCACATCAGAAGAGTCTACAGCACCGGATGCAGACAAGACCCTTGAAGATCTCTGCACCGCAGCCCGGGCCGACCCTTCATACATCCTGCTCGTCGACTGTGTGTCCCAGGGATTTACATCTAACCGATACGACCTTCATGAATCGCTACTCCCGTACTGAAAGATACGCGAGGACCTCTATTGTGACGGAGACCTCGTCTTGTATGGTCCACGAGTAGTCATTCCTGCTGCCCTACGCCGCCGTACCTTGACCCGCCTTCACGACAGCCATCGAGGAGTGGAGGCCACCAAGCGACGGGCGAAGCAGACTGTATTTTGGCCCGGAATCGACGCGGACATTGCAAGTACCGTCCGTGCCTGTGAGCCGTGACAGATTCTGCAACCCAGCCAGCAACAGGAACCTTTAATGTGCGACGATAACCCTTCAAGACCTTTCGAGTCTGTGTCGGCCGATTTCTTTGCAGTTGCAGGGAAGTCCTTCCTCGTCATTGCCGACCGATTGTCTGGATGGCCTGTTGCCGTCCCCTGTGGTAGTGATACAACGGCTACTGCTACCATCCGGAATTTCAGACATTACTTCAGAGAAGTTGGTGTTCCACTCCGTCTCAGGACTGATGGAGGACCCCAGTTCACCAGTCACGAGTTCCGGGACTTCATGGACCATTGGGGAGTCCGTCATGTCATGACCTCGCCCCACTACCCCCAGGCGAATGGACACGCTGAAGCCGCAGTCAAGACTGTTAAACACCTGATCCTTAAGGTGTCACCCTCAGGAAATATCGACTGAGAGGATTTCGATCGAGGTTTGTTAGAGTTACGCAACACCCCGAACTTCACCGGACGCTCCCCAGTCCAGGTTCTATATGGACATCATCTCAGGTCGTGTGTTCCTGCCCACCCGAAGTCTTTTTCTCAAGAATGGCAAGCCAAGACTGAAGAATGTGACCGCCGTGCAGCAGAACGAGCCGCAGATGTCGCTGCTCGGTACGACTGTCATGCCCGCCCCCTTCCCAGGTTGAGTATCGGCCAGCAGATCAGGATTCAAGATCCGGTATCTCACCGCTGGGACAAGGTTGGGGTTGTCATGGGTATTGGCCGGTCCAGGGACTACCAAGTGCGTCTTCCTAGTGGTAGAGTATGGTGGAGGAACCGTCGTTTCCTCCGACCTGTGGAGCTGCCTAGTGTTGACCCTTCCCCAGTAGAGTCCCCCAATGTTGATGTCTTTACAGTAAATCCATCTCCACCTTGTGTTTCTGCCCCGGTACTCCGCAGGTCCGAGCGACTCAGAAACAAAAGGTCCGCTCAAGATGAAACTATGAGCGTATAGGGGGGAGGGAGGTGTATGATATATGGACACAAAGTAGTACCTTAAGCTGTGTATTCTTATATTACTATATTAATTATATATAGTAAAGTATTACTGAACATGTATTACTCCTATGTAATGTTTCCATCTATTATGCACCATGTTATGTATATGTATTATCATATTGACATATTATGTATTCAGCTTGTGAACGCTGGCATCTGTGCATGCCAGCGCGGAGTGATACAGGGAGTTGAGATCGCTAGTCCTTATGGCGTGGAAGCCGACTGTTTATTTGTTCCTCTGTATTTGTCTCCCGTACGAGAATAAGAACCTATTTTCAAGATAACAAGTGTTTGCGTATACCCTCAGTAGTGTAGAACATTTTGGGGGTATCAAAGACTGGCATAGAAGCCTGCTTGTAAGTTTTTTGCAAAAAAAAAACGTAATATATATATATATATATATATATATATATATATATATATATATATATATATATATATATATATATATATATATATATATATATATATATCAAATAGATCCATGTAAAAATGTTTCTCCTTATTGGGTCTCGGTTTTCCATTTCTAAATATGTTTATTTCTTTGGTTCAGGAAGTGGCTTTCAGTTGATGGTAACCTTGGGCATCTTGATGGCATATGTGACGGGAGCGGTTGTCACCAGCTGGACGTGGTTAGCGGCTGTGTGCACTCTTCCCACCGTTGTCCACGCCATCATGCTGTGCTTCACCAAGGAATCTCCTACCTTTTTTGTCTCTAAGGGAAATACTGAGGAGGCGGTTTCATCTCTCCAGTACTTCCGAGGTGAGAATTACTATCTCGGCCATACGAAGTCTTCTTTAATGGACACGAAATTTTGGAATAAATTTTGTTAGCGGTTCAAAGATTTCAAGTGTAAAGAAAAGCAAGAGGAAGCTTAACTCTTGTATCTCTTTGGTACTCGTGGAGATTCAGTCTAGAGTAAACAAAAGATTAGTCTCACGTTAGTACTGTCGACAGTGTATTATAGTATCTATCTTTATTCTTGCTTTACTAATTCTAATTCTATTAAGTAATGGAAACGGGCGATTATTGTGTGTGTGTACACAGGATGGTGTAATGCATCTAGCTTGGCAGTATTATGTTAGTGTTATGGTGCGGGCATTGCTTGCTTCCACTCGCTTTCAGCTACCACTGCTGGCTAGCCCTTGTGGAGGACAGGGAAGCAATCTTGCCTAAGTCTTCCCCTGCCAGTACACAGTCTCTTTACCATCAAAACTCACGCTGTGCCTCCTCGTGGCAACATACGGTAACTGGGTGCCTCGCCACCCCAAGTTAGACCAGTAATGGATCTCGGAGCAGCAGTGGGCCCGAGAGGGAGGGCGCATAAGCCCACTGGCATGTGGACACTCCCTGGTGCCGACCAACCATTGCCTCGCTGCGTTGCAGATTAACCTTGGTAACTATAAGGCTACGGAAGTAAACCCCGAAACGAAAAATCTGCTGTGGAGCCCCGAATCAGGCAGACTCCAGTTAGACCACAACGGCAGTATAGGAGGGAAAGGTGACCAACATGGGAACCCAACGACTAAACCCGCGGGTGAAGGCAATGCAAGATGGACAATTGAACTTTCACTGACTGGCAAAACAACCCTCTGTCTCGGATCAAAGCCGATTCCTTCTACGAGAAGAAAGCGGCGGCCCAGCGCGAACTTCGCAAACTAATGAACGAATGGTGGAAAAATAAAGTGTGTGAAACACAAAAATTTGTTGATCAACACAAGATGCGGGAATTTTTCAAATCCACTGAAAAATATATGGTCCAATTGCTCATGGTGAGGCCCCCTCCGCTCATCCGACGGTAACTCCCTAATTAAACACGGAGGCATCCGTCAGTGCTGGAAAGAGCACTGCCATTCGGTGCTCAACTCAAACACTGATGTGGATGTCCTGATTACCCAGCAGGTCCCTCAGCACCCAGAGCTGACCGACCTCAGTTATCCTCCATCCCTGGAGGAGGTAGCCACTGCCATCAAACAGATGAAAAATAACAAAGCCACAGGGCCTGATAGAATCCCAGCCAGGCTGTATAAAGCAGGAGGACCTCTCTTTCCTAGCCGTCTCCACTCTCTCCTGGAGAATATATGGGAGAAAGGAAATCCCCAAGCTTTTAAAGACGCCTATATCTTCAATATCTATAAGAACAAGGGAGACCGGTCAGGCTGTGGCAACTAGCTCGGGATCTCGCTGCTGTCCGTAGCTGGCAAGATTATAGCCCTAGTCCTCCTAAACACTTATTCCTGGGGTGGAAAACTGCCTTCCCTGCTTGTGCCAATTTAGCCGGCGGGGTGGATATCTAGTACTGGATGAAGGGACTCTTCAACATAAGATAACTCCAGGCAGAAACAAAGATGTCGGCAGCTTCCATTACTGAATTTTAGTATGCAGACAACCTCACTCTCTTCGCTCACACTAAACGCGACCTACAGGAGTTCTTGGACACCAAAACAGACACATATGCTCTTTTCGGCCTCGAGGTGAATGTACACAAGACTCGGATTCTCTTTCAGTCTGCCCCTGGTTCAGCCACACCTACACCATCCATCCATCTTAACGGTACTACCCTCTCTAATGTTACCCACTTTCGGTATCTCGGCTCCCACCTGACCGTCACTGCGGACATCGATGAAGAAATTCAACATCGGATCAGAGGTGCCTCTGAAGCCTTTGGTAGATTCCATACCCGTGTCTTTAGCTGTAGGGAGCCGAAATTATCTACAAAGTTGCACGTATATCGAGCAGATGGTCCTCCCTACCCTGCTGTCTGGCAACGAGACATGAGTCACATACAGCAGGCACTTCAAGACACTTGAAAACTTTCATCAACGAACTCTACGGTCCATCCTCCGAGTTCACTGGGAAGACAAGAGAACAAATGCCAGTATTTTCATTGATTAGGTTGGACTGGCCATTTTACTGGCAGGGACGACAGTAGACTGTCAAAGCAACCACTTTAGTCACCCAGCGATTTATAAACGTAATGCTGGCGGACAACGGAAAAGGTTTAAGGATAGTCTTAAGACAACCCTGAGAAAGTGCCAAATTGACTCCCTAACCTCAATGTTTGGAGGAGCACTACACGCAAACGTGTAAATACTTCGAGTTAACCCGACTGCATACCGAGGCAGACAAGCGCCATAAAAACGCTGCAACCACCCTTCCCGCACTAGATGTAGCCCTCCACACGTGCAACATCTGTGGACGGCCCTGCCGGTCCCACATCGGTCTCTCGAGTCACCTCGGAGCTCTCCAACGAAGGTGACATCTTCAGTAACTCAAATTATTGTATTGTATCGTAGATGATGATTGTCTTACAAGATTCCGAGTGATAGCAAAGTATCATATACATATATATATATATATATATATATATATATATATATATATATATATATATATATATATATATATATATATAAATAAATAAATAAATAAATAAATAAATATATATATATATATATATATATATATATATATATATATATATATATATATATATATATATATATATATATATATATATATATATATATATATATATATATATATATATATATATATATATATATATATATATATATATATATATATATATATATATATATATATATATATATATATATATATATATATTTCATGTAAATCCACAATGAAAACGTTGAATCAAACAACATAAGTATAATATCAGAACTGCATCTGAAAGCAGTGCCTTGTTCGTTCATGTTAGGAATAATAATCACCCCATTGCTTGGGAAAAAAGCTTAGAAGTATTCAAATCATCTTGTGTCACAGAAAGACTTCTGGTTGAAGCTAGTTTGATTAAGGAATTAAAATCAATAAACCTTAGTGATGGTCTGTTCAAAACTGATAATATGTTACATAAATTTATTTGTCAGTGGCCCAAGGTTAAAAATGCTTTGAAAACCTTTGATCTTGATGTATGATAGTTATTTTGTGGGTCCCTTTTTTCTGACCTGACCTGTCTAGTCACGTCATCACCCTTCTCTTAAGCTCCTCTACGTGTATGTTGGTGTGGGGATTAGTGGATGTCATCATTATGACCTGACCTCATGTTTTTAGGTCACCCTGTATATTTAAGCCTCTCTCTGTCCATGTAATCCAGTTGCCTCTGAAGATGTCTTGAATAAAGACGAAAGCTAAGGTACTCCGTTGTTTCCATTTTCCCGTGTGATTTTATCAAGATATATATATATATATATATATATATATATATATATATATATATATATATATATATATATATATATATATATATATATATATATATATATAACCGGTTATTGTTTTTTTTGTTATAGTGGATGGTAATGCAGTGGAAGCGCCCCTCAGAGAAAATCCCGAACCAGCACAAACACAATTAAATAAAAGTATTCTCCGTGACCGTGGAAAGCTAGCACCTGTGATTGGGGTTAATGAGACGCACTGGCAGCAGGTGACACTTCTATTCCTTCTAGCACTACAAACACAATCAATAATTGTACTCAAGCACTAAAGCACCTCTTAGCATGGCTTAAAACACTACAATGGGAAACAAAAGTTATACATGGTATCAAAAATTAATAAAAGATATAAATTGCATCTGGAGAGGACTACTAATGCAGCAGTACTACCTACACCAGAACAGACATCAGAACGAGGAACTCATCTGAAACAATTCCTTCGTACATCCTACATCACTTAGTGGCACATAAAACATTAACAAAATATTACTTGCACCGATGAACATGCCTTAAGGGCATCCGACAAAATTACAGCAATCACTGAGGAATAGAAATCCCGATTCTAGTCATACTACACAAGAACATGGATCACTCATAGCCTGTCTGGGATGACCCACAAAATACTATAATCTTAACTGTCCTAACTACCCAGAACCCGAAGGTTGTAACTACTAACCTGCCAAGTGGCAGGTATTTACAAGAAACCGAGAAAATCACTCATGACCTTTCATGCAGGCGGGTGCTCCGCTGTTTTTTTCATTACTCTCTCTAGATTTCAGGAGTCATGAGTGTATTTCTCCACCAACACCCGTAACATGCGTCACACATAGGTTCAGAATGCACCCGTACTTTTAAGGTACTAACAGCCTTTCACAAACTTTTGGAGATGAACTCTTACGTCCCTCGTGTGCAATCAGCCATGAGGAACGTTGATCTCACACCTGGACTTGGCTATTCTAATCACATTTTACCACCATCACCCGTAACATGCTTCACACATATGCTCAGAATACACCCATACTTTAAGGTGTTACAGCCTTTCACCAACTTTGAGGAGGAACTCCTACATCCCACGTGTGCAATCAACCATGAGGAGCGTTGATTACACACCTGGACTTGGTTAATTCAATCACATACACCCAATACTGGGGAGATGAATGTCTCTATGTAACCACTAGACTCATGGTCTCAGTGTGTGACCTTTCATTCACTCAGTCTGCAATCAGTTTACTCCCAGTACTTCGTGGACAGGAAGAGAGTGACCGTCAGCCCGCCTAGTTAGGCTAGTCCAGAGTACAACCAGGTGAACCCTGCCCAGCTGAGGGAGGGGTTCTACTTTCCTGTGAGTAAGATTTTTCACTGACTGACTGAAGAGTTGTGGTGTTGTATGAACCAAGGTGGGGAGATTTGATGAACCAGATCGACCACCGACCAAAGTGCGGATGCTGGTCCCACGTAGTTAGTCGTCAGGGACACCCGTTCACCTCGTGCGTTGCCATTTATACGACCACTAAACACCCGAACAATCACCGGCCAACCGAGTGGGTTCTCAGAACCCTGCAAAAGGAACACTCTGTTAGCTACTGTTAAATTCCTCTCCGCCCTATCTAAACACTGTCTGAGATCGAATAAAAACTTACTTGCAACACTGATGAAACGTGCGCGGGAAGGGACGAGGCCACGTTGGCGTTTTCCTTGGCAGACGCGTGGACTTTGTCTGCCTGGGTCAAATGCCTGAGAGCTACTACCGCCGGTCAGCTCGCATCCCCCAAGGCGTTCGCCTGCCCTCACCTAATGAAGTTATCCCTCGGGTATTACTAATAGTTTCCTTGGGACACACGTAACATATTTAGACAGAAACCATTCACAATAACTTTAAATTTTATAGTTGTCCCTTAACTTCATGAATCGTGTCTACATTAATTCGATAAAGCACATTTAATTTTATATAGGCCTAGTTCAAAATGCTTCCACCTTCCCCTCGATGGCGTTGCTTGAGCCCTTGTTTTACTCACCATGAGGCGTGAGTGCTTCAGCCTGGCCTACTTATGCTTTCTTGTTTCGGCAGATCGGTTATTTCTGTTCTAACGTTTCTAAACATCACATTGAAATTTCTGAATATTACAATCGACCCCCCTAAAAAAAGACAGCACTGTCCTCATGTGCTGAAAGAAAAAAAGTGTGCATACGACCCCCCCAGAGGAGACCTGCTCTAATAACTGCATCTCGCACCTGCGACACACTTAAAGCGGCATTACTGTCCTCCAACTCCCGGCCACCCCTGATGATGTTAGTTTTCCTTTTTCCCTCTCTGACATATATATATATATATATATATATATATATATATATATATATATATATATATATATATATATATATATATATATATATATATATATATATATATATATGTGTGTGTGTGTTATTAACTGCTGTCAACACCCTATCTGTCTCGGCAGGACGTCACTACGACATCATGCCAGAGCTCAACATAATCTCCAAGTCACTTGAAGAAGCCAAGCTCAACAATGCATCTATATGGGACCTCCTGAAGCCCTACAACTTGAAGCCTCTCCTTATTTGTCTCTCTATCTTGTCCTTCGCACAGTTCTCAGGGATAACACCTGTTCTCTTCAACTTATCAACTGTATTTAAGGTAAGTGATGGGTGTACGTCTCACTTTACAACGATTATTGAGGAACAGTTTAGATCCTTACAAAAATAGAGATAAGATTTTTCTTAAATTTTAATAGCTGTTTAGTGCATGACATGGTTAAATTATTCGTGCCTAAAATATTTAGTTGCTGAATTTCAGAAAGAAACAATAAGGCAAATATATGTGATGACATAAATCATGAACAATGAAATGAACTTGTTTACAGGACTCGGGGAGCAAGATGTCAGAGAACGCCAGTGCCATCATCGTCGCTGGGGTTCAGGTACTGGCAACTCTGGTCGGTGCTCTGCTCATGGATAAGGCTGGTAGGCGATTCCTCCTCGCCATCTCGTCTGGCTTCATGTGTGTTTCTGTTGGTCAGTTCACGCCCGGGTTTGTTTCTGAGGCACAGTTTAATGTTAGTCTAACAGTGTTTCTCAAACTGGGGGCCACGGCAAGATTTTAGGGTGGCCACGGCGGGCTAGTGTAAGACTGTAAGTAGTATATGTTTGGAGAAAATGTGAAAACTCTGATTCAACTTTTTTTTGTTACTTTGCCTTGTTAGGGGAGAAATCGTTTTTTTTTTATGTTTTTTTTGTCATTGTGTATAATCATAATACCCGTACGGTACAGTTTTGATATTTACATAGTATGGTGCAGCAGCAAGTTTTTCATTTCCAACGGATTCGCTCAGTTTGCATGATTCTAGTTCCTGTCGGGATGACGGGCCCTGGACTAAGTCACTGATCTCCCATGTTCTGTACATGTCCATGTGTCATCGCTTTACATGGTGGTGATCAGACCGAATGTTCTCAGTCTGGCTCAAGATATCATTAGGAAAATATGTGAGTGAACTGTGAGTGGACTGTATGTGTATGTTTTACGTGTGATTACATAGACATTTTATGTATGTTTACATACAGTATGTATGGACTTTATACATGTTTGTGTGTTTGCCATTCCGATTATTGTCTCATTTTTGTTTTTTATTATTATAATTTTTAGTCTTTATCATTCGTCTGTTTCTGTCTGACATTCTGTTTTTTTTTTTAAGAACTAGTCAACATTTAGAGGATTGCCAACACGGTTTTATGCCGGGGCGTTCCTGCTTAACACAATTGCTCAAGGTATTGGATATTTGGACCCATATTCTGGAACGGGGTGGTAATATTGACAATATTTACCTAGATTTTGCCAAGGCTTTCGACAGTGTACCCCACGAAAGGCTGAAAATCAAACTGGAAGGGTATCGAATTCGGGGAAATGTCCTCGCGCGAACAGAAGACTTTCTTCATGACCGCAAGCAGTGTGTGGTGGTTAATGGCACGAAATCGTCATCTGTACCTGTCACAAGTGAGGTACCACAGGGCAGTATATTGGGCCCTCTGTTGTTTGTTTGTTTGTTTCATAAATGACATGCCTGACGTTGTACACTCCTCCATACAAATGTTTGCCGATGACACCAAGTTATTTCGGGAAATTAAGAACCAAGCGGACTGTGAAGAGCTGCAGAAGGACCTCTGTGGGCTCCAGGAATGGTCGAAGAAATGGCTGCTGAGATTCAATGTCACGAAGTGTAAGAGGATGCACCTGGGGCGTACCAACGGTAAGGAGGCGTATTATTTGTCCCAACGGGATGAAGAAACTGCACTAGTTGAGACTGAATGTGAGAAGGACCTAGGTGTGTATGTTGACAATGAGCTGAAGTTCTTGGGCCATTGTGAGAAGAAGGTAAACCAGGCAAATAAATTATTGGGTCTTATAAGAAGGTTGTTCAGATATCCAGACGGTCCGTCCATCGTAACGATCTTCAAGAGTGAAGTGCCTCCCCATCTGGAGTACTGTCACCCCGCCTGGTCCCCGAGATATGCTAGGGACTGTCAGTTGGTTGAAAATGTTCAAAGGAGGGCCACCAGACTGGTGCCTGCACTTCGGCACTTCAACTACCCTGAGAGATTGGAGCACCTGAACTTGCCCAGCTTATACTACAAACGGGCTAGGGGTGACCTAGTTGAGGTGTATAAGCATCTCAGGGGGCACTACTCAGTCGAGTGTCCTTACTTGGAGCTGGCGGACGCTCGCCCCACAAGGGGTCACAGCTCAAGATTGAAGAAGCCGCAAGTCCAGAAAACTGCGAGGGCAAACTTTTTCGGAATGAGAGTTGTGAACTGTTTGAACAATCTACCAGAGAGTGTCTTGACGGCACCGAGTGTGAGCTCTTTCAAGACAAGCCTTGACCAACATTGGAGCGGGTTCAGGTACATTCAGGAGCCGGTGCATGCCCAGTACTTGTCAATGTAACGGGCCGAGTTCTCTCTTTTTTTTAATTTACCATCCAGATATTCTTTTCTGTTAGTATTCTTATTTATTCATATACTTATATGTTCTTTGTAGCATTCTTTCCAATCAGTACCCTGTTTTATATACTTATCCTTCTTCAATTCTTTACATATATACTAATTCTTATATATTCTTGCTTATATTCTTATATGTTCTTTATCTCTATATATCTTATATTCTTATATATTCTTATATAAGTAACTCTCATGCTCCTCTGCTTATATTTTCCAAGTCAATGTTCTTTCTTTTCATTTCCTTTCATATATTATAATCTCTTCCATATATTTCGTTCTAGTTATATTCTAAACCATGGATTAACCTGGGAAACCATGTCTCTTATTACCACACTTATTATACTTACAACGGTAGACCTGCCACCACCCAGGATTTTATTAGAATATAACATATCTTAGTTAACTGTTAGGTAGCGAGCTTCTAGGCACGTAAGTTAGTTATTTTCTGAGAACCAATGTGGGAAAGGGATAGAGTGGTGATACTCGTAGATTACTAATTCAATATTTATTAACACAGTGAGTGAATAAGATGTTACTTCAATTCACCCAGACAAAACAGAACCGCAATTTATTTATTAAGTCATCAAACACTTCAAGAACTTATTACCTCATTAAATACTTCCAAATACTTATTACTTCATTAGACAATTGTGGTATTAGTACTCTGTCCAAATGAGATTCAGTAATTAGTATACATCAGATATCACTGGACCCTCAGGTCTTACTTTAACCAGTAACCAATTAATTCTTCACTTCTTGGTTATATCATTATACTCTCAGATTATCATTTCATGGTCACTACCGATGAATACATAGCACACTGGACAACTCCACAATTATCTCAACATACAATACCTCCTGTTAATTCTCAAGGAACATCATGGCACTTTTAACTCTCATTCAGTGGTTCAATACTTAACCTGGGATACTATATTTCTGCTAGTTATCCCCCAAACAAGATACAATAATACTTAGGCCCATGTAACTGTGAGGAGTGCCCCAGGGTAACACTGGTCTCTCTACAACAATTGAAGATCTCTGTTAGGGGTCGGTTGTAGACAGACACACGCCAAGGGAGCTGGTGCCTGATTTGCAGGAAACGGACTTCCCAGTTTAATCCTGTCGAATTAACCGCATCGTCCAACCCGGTTACCGACCCACGGTAGACGATGAGTATTCAGCTCAACACACTGGAGAGACGTTGAGGAAGGGTCACGAATGCGTCAATAATTAATTTCAACGATACAAAACATACGTCTGGCAATGGTCCAGACGATATCTACCGGTAAATCTCTATGTTACTCGACTTAATTGGCACAGAAGTTACTATGTTAAAACATGAACACTGATATTCACATAATTGACTAAGTTAAACTGAATTAATAGGCGGCGGGGAACACACGTAACATACCTGAAGAGACGTTGAGGAAGAGTCACGAATGCGTGATTCTCCCTCGTGTAGAGGTATATACGTGCACCCGCGGGGCAGCTTGGGCCTCCTTAGTCATACCAGAAGGGTCGATCTTACCAACAACAGACCTTCTCTACCATCTTGGATCACCGTATACTTAAATATGAACTCCGGTGTTCTTGATCAGGGTAATTTCCTATGTCTATTCATATAATCTAATCAGAGGTTGAGCTGGCCAGGAAAAGGTGGAATATACACGTTGATAACATTAATTCTGCGAGCTCAGGCCTGAGGCGAACAAGGAGCTAGTCACAGGGAGACGCTAGATCTTGGAGATTATACAGGTTGACAGAATAGTTCAGGAGATTAATGACTCTCTTAAATAGACAACTGACAAACTCTAAACTACAACCATCCTATTCTCTGATGTTTGGGCAACAAAATAATCTGACTTCAGTAGCAATTGGAAACTCGTGGTCATTCTTAGGAAACGAAACCGCGGGTATCGTTTGTACTGGCAGACTCATCACTCACTTACCTACCCAATGTTACTAACAATAAAGACAGTTAAAGCGTTCAACATCTCTCACAAAGGATCTTGTATGCTTTAACTGTGATCAAACATATCTAAGTTGACTCAAAACAAGGGTGTTCTCTCTCACATTCAAATTCATTATATAGAGAGGTTGGTTTCAGTAAGTCAGAGAAAATGGGATAACAGAGGGCTGAGGCGTCTTGAAGTGATGAGAAAACGGACTCCTCAGATGGAGGACTCAAACGAAAGCAGAGTTACATGTTTTGTGGGCTATTGAGCGTAATATGAATCATTTGATTTTGGCACTAACTGACGTGTATGACCGTGGTCGTTACATCATCAGTGTGTGACAGAGACGTGACCGATCGCCCGGGCGGCTAACGAGCCGATTAGTGGTGAAGAGGATAAAAGTAGATCATTTGGGTGTGTTATTTGTCCGAGAATTCATGTGTATAATCTCCTCAGTGCTATGTATAGCAAGAGTGTGAGGTAAGCCACTTGTTCTTGGCGAATTGTAACCACGGCAGCTCTCTAGGAATTTAGATGTGGGGCTGCGGCAGAGTCCAATAACTATTTATGAGCTACATATTCAGGTAACCTGTTCGGTTGATGCTCCAGTGTACTATAGGTGTGATCACTGTGTTATGTGGTTTTGTGAAAAATACACCATTTTGTTTGTATACTGGAAGTTGTATTGTTGGTACTCAAGTGTACGAGGTATAAGAGTAGTGTGGTGTGTTGTTAAAAGATACACCAAGTGATGGTGACTGCGAGAGGTGTGCATGAGTGTTGCTCATGGTAGGTGTGTGTACTGGGTTACTCATAAGAACATAAGAATGGAGGAAACTGTAGCAGGCCTATTGGCCCATACTGGGCAGTCCCATTTACACTCAACCCCTATCGCTCATATATCCATCCAACCTATGTTTGAAGCTATCCAGCATATTCGAGTTAATGATGATGTTTGGTAACTTGTTCCATTCATCCACTACTCTATTTCTAAACCAATGTTTACCTATTTCGCGCCTAAATCGAAATTTGTCTAATTTAAAACCATTGTTACGAGTTCACTCCTGG